AGAAAGAAAGAAAGAAAGAAAGAAAGAAAGAAAGAAAGAAAGAAAGAAGAAAGAAAGAAAGAAAGAAAGAAAGAAAGAAAGAAAGAAAGAAAGAAAGAAAGAAAGAAAAGAAAAGAAAAGAAAAGAAATAGCATCTCACACCGCAGTTATAGTCATGGGCTGAAAAACAAGATTTTTTTTTAAATTTTAAATTTATTTCTTAAATAACCGCCTTCAACTCTTAACCTTCCATCCTAGTTATATAGTTAACCGTACATTTAATCCTCACCAGTCCTTATTTTGATGTCTTTCTGGTCATTTTGAATGTGTGAAGTTCATTCTCCTGTAGATTCCTAAGGCTGGGTTCCCGGAGTTCTTGTTTAATGACAACAGTTTATGCCCTAGTTTTGCGGGATATAAAAGTCTTGGCTCACACTTTATTTCCATAGGTGTCTTCAATATGTAACTCTGTTTTCTTCTGAGATAAAGCATCCCGTTGAAAAACCCAGTAATAATCTAATTTTATTTTCTTTATAAGTCACATGCTCTTTTATCCGAGATATCCCCCAATTTGTTCCTTCTCCTTTTTACGTTGTGATTTTACCAGAATTTGTCTTGTCACTGGTCCTTCTGATTCAATATTCTCAGTTATGCTTTCAGTGTAAAATGCAAACTTTTTGTTTTAATTTCAGGAAAATGTGCTTAATTATAGTATTTAGTATTTGTTCTGTTCCTTTACTTTGGCTTTCTTCTTCAAGGATGCGATCATCTGTGTAACCAATCTTCTTTGTCCATCCTCAATATTTGTCGCTTCCTCTTGACTCCCTTCAATGTCATACTTCATTTTTTGTTGCTGTTGTTTTTAATTTTCCTGCTTCACCTTCTGTTTCTTTCAAGGCAATATGTAATGAGTTTGTTCACTCTTGTGTTCCTTCTAATTTAGTCTTCACTTTTGAAATGACTTTTTTCTTTTAGTGTTTACACCTTGCTGAGTTCTGTCACCTCATTTCTGAAATTTTCAAATTATGATATGCAGCGATACCCTTTATGTGTGGGGACTCTGTTCCAAGGTGCCCAGGGACGCCCAGAACTATAGAGAGTACCAAATCCTACATATACTATATTTTTCCTATACACACATACCTATGATAAAGTTTATAAAATTAGGCACAATAAGAGATTAACAGCAATAACTAATAATAAGAGAACAATTATAATAATCTACTGTAATGAAAGTTGAATGAATATGGTCTCTCTCTGTCTCTCTCAAAATATTGGACTGTACTCACTCTTTTTTTTTTTAAAGATTTTTTCAAATGTTTTTATTTATTTCTAGGAGAGAGAGAGAGAGAGACAGCGTGAGCAGGGGAGGGTCAGAGAGAGAGGGAGTCACAGACTGAAACAGGCTCCAGGCTCTGAGCTGGCAGTCAGCACNGGAGTCACAGACTGAAACAGGCTCCAGGCTCTGAGCTGGCAGTCAGCACAGAGCCCGACGCGGGGCTCGAACCCACGAACCGCGAGATCATGACCTAAGCGAAAGTCGGACGCTCAACCGACCAAGCCACCCAGGCGCCCCTGGACTGTACTCACTCTTATGATGATGATGATGTGAGATGACAAAATGCCTACATGATGAGATGAAGCGAGGGGAATAATGTAGGCGTGGTGACACAGTGTTAGGAGACTATTGACCTCTAATGACATGCCAGAAGGAAGATCATCTGCTTCATGACCGCAGGTAACAGAAACCAGAGACAGCGAAACGGTGAATAAGGGCGGACTACTGTGTTTCATTTTCTCATGTCTTGTAACATTTTTAAAAATATTTTTCATCATTTTGAAATAGTAGATCACAGAATTTTTGTTTTTAAATATGGAATGCTTGCAAACATGAGTGCCATCCTTGCACAGGGACCAGGGTAATGTCTGTATCATTCCAAATTTTAGTATATATGCTGCCGAAGCAAGCACAACAGATGATAGTTCTTATCTGTATTGTGGGCATGTCTTTCTGGCATGGGAACAGTAGTGTACTTCTCTTTCTCTTTTTATCATAATAACTTTGTACAGGACTTGACCTTAATGCTTCTTAGTTATTTTTTAAATTTTTTAAATGTTTATTCATTTTAGAGAGAGAGAGAGGGACAGAGCTGGAGCAGGGTAGAGAGAGAGGGAGACACCAAATCCAAAGCAGGCTCCAGGCTCTGAGCCATCAGTACATCCCCAATGCAGAGCTCGAACTCATGAGTTGTGAAATCATCACCTGAGCTGAAGTTGGATGCTTAACCAATGGAGTCACCCAAGCACCCCTTAGTTACTTTTATATAAAAATGGTTTTTTTTCTGGCCACCTACACTAAGCAAGGTAAGGGAAACCTCCTTTAACATCACAGAGTTCTCTCTTTAGTTGTTTTCATGTAGGGCTCAATAATACGGTGGCTTAAATAATGGAAAAAGCCCAAATGTCCATCAACTGATGAATGGATAAAGAAGATGTGATATATATATACAAAGGAATACTACTTGGCAATGAAAAAGAATGAAATCTTGCCATTTGCAGCAATGTAGATGGAACCGGAGGGTATATGCTAAGTGAGATAAATCACTGAGAGAAAGATAGATATCATATGTTTTTACTCATACATGGAAGTTGAGAAACTTAACAAAAGATCATTGGGAAAGGGAAAGAAAAAAATATATAGTTACAAATAAAAAGGAGGCAAACCATAGAGATTTGTTTTAGAACTTTTTTTTTAAATTTTTTTTTTTATGTTTTATTTATTTCTAGGAGAGAGAGACAGCGTGAGCAGGGGAGGGTCAGAGAGAGAGGGAGTCACAGACCGAAAGAGGCTCCAGGCTCTGAGCTGGCAGTCAGCACAGAGCCCGACGTGGGGCTCGAACCCACGAACCGCGAGATCATGACCTAAGCGAAAGTCGGACGCTCAACCGACTAAGCCACCCAGGCGCCCCTGTTTTAGAACTTTTAAAAAATGTTTATCTATTTTTGATAGAGACAGAGTGTGAGCAGTGGAGGGACAGAGAGAGAGGGAAGCACAGAATCTAAAGCAGACTCCAGGCTCTGAGCTGTCAGCACAGAGCCTGAGGTGGGTCTTGAACCCATGAGCCACAGGATCATGACCTGAGCTGAAGCCAGACGCTCAACCGAGCCACCCAGGTGCCCCATAAGAGACTTTTAAATACAGAGAACTGAGGGTGGAAGGGGATGGTAGAGGGGGAGGGGAAAATGGGTGATGGGCATTGAGGAAGGCACTTGTTGGGATGAGCACTGGGTGTCTTATGGAAATGATGAGTCACAGGAATCTACTCTTGAAGCCAAGAGCACACTGTATCACTGTATGTTAGCTAACTTGACCTTAAATTATGTATATAAAAAAATAGATCTGAAAAACTAAACATGTGACAATTAAAAGAAAATATGTTGGCTTGTTTTCTGAGCTTTTCTTCGTTCTATTGTCAGACTTCACTTCAATCGGAACCTTCTCTTTTCTTCAACTGTGTTGTCTCTATCCTGCTCAGCTTTAATTCCATTTCTTCTCTGGAAGCATTTTGACTATACTTAGCCTTTTGTTCTTCCACATACATTTCCAAATCAACTTTGCCAGTTTCCTTGAAAAACCCATTAGAACTTATTTTCTGTATTTTATTTGATTATTTAAAAATTAGGGGTGCCTGGGTGGCTCAGTTGGTTAGGCACCCGACTTCGGCTTAGATCATGATCTCATGGTTCATGAGCTTGAGCCCTGCGCCGGGCTCTGTGTTGACAGCCAGCTCAGAGCCTGGAGCCTGTTTTGGATTCTGTGTCTCCCTCTCTCTCTTACCTCCCCTGCTCACGCTGTCTCTCTGTCTCTCAGAAATAAAAAATAAATAAATAAATAAATAAATAATAAAAAATAGAAATTATATATATCTCAGGATGCCTGGCTGGCTCAGTTGGTGGAGCATGCACCTCTTGATCATAGGGTCCTGAGTTCAAGCCCCACGTTGGGCGTGGAACCTACTTTTTAAAAAAGGCAACAAATATTATATGCCTATCTCTTTCATACATTAGAAGGGTAAATACTGTTTCAAGATATTCTTGTTTTAGATGTGTGTGTTGTCTATGTGTGTGTACATACACATGAATGTACGAGGACATGTGACCCTGTCAAAAAGTACGGAAACTGCTGCCCTTGGCCATCCAGAAGGCTACTGCAGCCTTGGGCTCCCTCTTTTCCATCTGGTTTTCATTTTCTTATTGACTGTTTTAAAACTACATACTTTTATTTCCGGGCTTCATACAGATCTCTGGGAGAGAACTACTGACAGTGGTGCTGGAGTTTCAAAGGAGCTGGGAGAAAAAAGCCAGGGAGTTTCCTGCCTCCCTCAAATTTCACGCCACAGGGCCTTCTCTCATACACCGGCTCATGCAGTCAGCGGGGAACTGCTGCTGGATTTTTTAGCTAGCCTTCTCATCCCTTGCCACACGGTCTAGGGGTTTGTAAAATTAGATAGCAAATCATAAGAGACTTAAGAAATGTTAGAAATGTCTTCACTCTTAGGAAAACAGTTTGAAGACAGTCTACGCTCCTCAGCCACCAAGGTGCTGGAATTCTAACAGAGAAACCTCAAAGCGCCCTCTGCTGGCAGCCAGTATCCACCACCACTAGTCAACAATTAGAAAATAATGCAGACCTCATTGGTACCAATTTTTTAAAAATTTTTAATGTTTTTTATTTATTTCTGAGAGAGTGAGAGAGAGACAGTGTGAGCAGGGGAGGGTCAGAGAGAGAGGGAGATACAGAACTTGAAGCAGGCTCCAGGCTCTGAGCTAGCCGTCAGCCCAGACCCCGACGTGGGGCTCAAACCCACAAACCGTGTGATCATGAGCTGAGCCAAAGTCAGACACTTAACCGACTGACCCACCAGGGCGCCCCGTTGGTACATATTTTTAAGATGGTGATAACACATAGGGAGTTATTTAGTCCCTATGTTACTCTCTATGTATAAATAGTATAATATTTACTATTATATTCTCCACCTAACAAAATGGAATTCACACACCATAAGTTAAAATAGCTCTAAGTCATACAGAGTCTACAGTTTTGTTCTGTTTTGTTTTTACTACAAGTTTTTAAGTATTACAACAAATCCAAACAGTATTTGAAGATGAAATGAACTAGTCATTTATAATTGTTGAGAATAGTGCTTGCTTCAGCAATACATATAATTGTTGGGAATAAATAGCTGTTACACTGTTTTGGACATTTTTATTATGAACAGGTGTAGTATTTCTGGAATAAGTATATGGCATGTGTCTATGCTTCTAACTTCATATTTTTCCCTGCTCAAAACAAACAAACTCACAACTATCCTCTTTCAGTCTTTATGTAAAATTTCAGACTGCCTAAGAGAGATTATTGTAAAGAAGAATAAAGACAAATTCTTGGATTTATGAAAATTAAATTTGCATTTATCAAAGTTAATAAAGTACTTTATTACTAGTACAGCCTTAAAGCAAAGTTAAACAAAATTAAATGGAGGAATGAAATAACATCTGAAAATTTAAATTATCCATTTTAGTTCTTTTTAAACTAATAGTTATTTGTGTATTAACATAGTCATAGGAAGATATTTAAAATACCAACATCAAATACCAAATATCTTGCTCAACAAAATTAACTACTTTGTGTATTTACACAATGATATACACAGTACTTGCTTAACTTTTTTCTAGAAAGATTATAAAAATCTTATGGTTCCTAATTTTCAAAGCTCTAATAATCTTGTGCCTAGGTACTAAGGTCACTAAAACCTCACAATAACTTTGGATATAACTCAATGTATCAGAGACAGTGTTTATCCTCAAGAGGAGAAACTATTAAACAATCTAGTTCTAGATCTTTATATAAAAGATCAATAAAGGGACTCCTGGGTGGCACAGTTGGTTAAGCAACTGACTTTGGCTCAGGTCATGATCTCAAGCCCCGTGTCGGGCTCTGTGTGACAGGTTGGAGCCTAGAGCCTGCTTCAGATTCTGTGTCTCCCTCTCTCTCTGCTCTTTCCCTGCTCATGCTGTCTCGCTCGTGCACGCTCTCTCTCTCTTTTTCTCCATCACTCAAAAATAAATGAACATTAAAAGAACTTAAAAAACCAATAAAGTAATTGGTTTTCCAATATGAATTAATGTTAATTAATTTGCTATTTACAAATCCTCTATACTAAATTATTGGTTAAGCCATTCCTGATTAATAAGTCTAGAGAGTCTATTGATTATAAGTATATCATTGGGTAAAAACACAACCTTACAAAATTCTATTTTAAGAATGTTGAGGATAAAATTGGGAAAGTGTGGGGCAAAGGTTACCAACAAGGTTATAAATTTCATAGGCAAATATAAACTGTCTATTTAACGCCACATCCTTTCAGAGCACTTTGACTTGTATTAAAGTTCTAATGTTTCCTTTTATTTAATTACATACTTTGTTTCTATAGTAACTCTAAAGCATATAATCCGTTGCAATGTTCCTAAGCCTTTTACACGGTGACTTCTTTTCAGTCAGTAAACAGTAATAACAATATAATCCTTGTTTAGATCTTCATCTTCTTCCTGAAGTTCCCTTAATTAGTACACAGCAGAATTAAATGCAACTGCAGTCTCACTATGCAATTTTGAATAATTAGAAGAAAAAATACAAATTCTAAACTAAGTCCCTAAGTTTTCTAGGAATTTACTGCCACCTTCAGGTTTTAATCAAAATGCATTAGTAGTACAGCTTTGACATTTTTAGGAGAGAGTCCCTGGTTAACACAGCAGAAATATTAACATTATTTTCTGGTTTTGAAAGCAGAGTGCTCTCTTAGATTGCAGTACAAATGTCTTTCATGAAATATGCTTTCATTCTGTCTCGTCTTTTATGATTCTTTTATAACATGTAATTGAAAATCAAAGCCTACAGTTTGTTTTACCAGTCA